CCACCAGAGCTCCCAAAAGAAACTTCTCAAATGTAATGTGTGAGCCTTCATTTGACTCTAGTTATTTAAAACTTCACCTATAAAGATATCTGAACAACTGGGTTTATTGTAAATTTTCTCAGAGCACTGTTATGATAATGATTTGCTTATTTTCTGTAGAAGCAGACTGAACTCTCTGGAGGTGAAGGCCCACGAAGGCTACAGTTTAGTGTGAAATAATTCAGCCGTTCATGTGTGTGTGTGTTATGTGTGTGTATGTCCATACACTCACACAATGGATCTGGCAAAATGTTAATAAGTACTTCATCTGAGTGGTTAGTATATGCATCCTTATTGTAATCGTCCTTCTAGTTTCCTATATTTTAATTTTTTTCATAATATAGAGTTAAAGGTAAAGTAAATGAACATTTGCTTTCCTTTTTCAATTACCCCAAAAGATAATTGGAGGCAAATTAAGTTTTTACGAAATGAGGATTGGATGTCCTTAAAACTCAAAAACCAATCCCTTTGCCATCAAGCCAATTCTGACTCACAGCACCCCAGGGGAGAGAGTGGAACAGCCGCATAGGGTTCCCAAGGCTGTAAATTACTATAGAAGCAGAAGGTCACCTCTGTCTCTAGTGGGGCTGCTGGTGGGTGTGAACTGCTGACCTTTTGACCTTTCGATTAACAGCCAAATGCCTCAACCACCATGACACCAGAGCTCATTTGCATGTACTTAAGTCTTGTCCTATCTGTTACATTCTATTCAGGTTTCAAAGCCACGCCTCTCTCCCTGAGGGCTACTGTACATTTTTCTATAGAAGAGGCTGGGGGTGGAGTCTGTGAGGGTGGCACTGACTGTGGAGAGGACATGAGGAGATGGGAGAGAGCCTAAAGCCTCTGCCACCAGAGCACTTCCCCCACACACACCCAAAGGTGCTCTTGTGAGGAGAGGACCCAGTGTCCACATTGTCATATCCTTGACTGGACAAGACAGTCAACTCTGACCCAGGAGCAGGTCCTCAAGGGGAGCAATGCTGGGAGATCCTCCAGGGGTACATGCGGGTGCAGGGGTCAGTGGCAGTGCCACAGAGCCCCCCTTTGGAGTGAAGGGGATTCCGGACCACAGGGAATAGGAGGGGCATGCAGGGTGACTGCTTTGAGGGTACAGAGGGCAAGCTACTTGAGGGTGGTGAGGGAGGAGAGAGGAGAAGGTGCCACAGAGCTGGGGGAGGCATCACCAAGGACAGGGCACCTGGAGCTGAAACACCCACCACCTAAGGGATGCTGACGGAGCTGGGACCTTATGAGGCAGACAGAGTGAAGAGCTTGAGCTGAGCTGGCAGCTAGGACCCCAGGAGCCAGGCAGGTGGAATGAAGACCCTGAACTAGTTGGTGGAATGGGAACCCCTGAGCCAGGCTGATGGAGGACTCTGAGCCGGGCTGATGGAGCTGGGTCCCCGTGCACCTCACAGACAGAATGAAGACCCTGAGCTGTGCTGATGGAGGAGGACCCCAAGTTGTGCTGACAGCTAGGACCCCATGAACCAGGCAGATAGAAAGGAGCCTCTGAGCCAGGCGGATGAAATGGGACCCCTGAACCAGGCTGAAGGAGCCGGGACCCCATAGACCAGGCGGATGGAATGGGAACTCTGAGCTGGGCTGATGGACTAGTGCCTGGAGGTCTGGTCTGAGCCTGAACGGAGGAGCCTATGTGTAACACTGGGGTTTGCTGGTATCTGGGTGACCTCAGCCTAGTATGTGTGTACCGGGGACCCTGGTAGGAGCCATTTCTCCAGGAGCTAGAAGCCGCCAGAAGCTCTGCCTAGCTGGAGCAGGACTGGGAGACAAGCCTCAGACCCAGGGAGGAAAGGCTGTCCCCAGAAGGGGCTTGCCAAGGATCCCCCAGGTGTGGCACTTGGGGTCTTGAGTCTGAGTTCTCACCTGGCCCACACTCTAGGGAGGGTCATAGAGCACCCCCAGCCCTGTGCAGCTGAGTGTGGGGGGCTCTGGTCACATTACTACAACACGGTCCCTGTCCTAAGGCTGCACTCATTTCTAAGCTTATGGGGCCAAGGGAGAGAGGTCCTCCCCCTGCAGAGTCATTTTGAGAACAATTCCTGATTCCCTGATGCCCTCTCCACTGACTGTCTTCCCCAGAGCCCAGTGGGGCCCTCACTAGTGTTTGCATACAGGAGGGGAGGCTGGGTTATCTCTCCGTTGGGAGCTGCTGATGTCCGCATGCACACAGCCCATGGGGGAAGCGGAGGGGCCCATGTCTGTGACGGTGGCACAGGGCAGAAGTGACCATGGCTGTGGTAGTGGTGAGAATCCACGGTGAGCTTGGCCAAACACCCCCCTTCCATGGAGTGACTGCAAGGACGGTCTCTTCTGAGGGGTCTGCAAGGATGGTCTCTTCCAAGGGGTCCAGAGGCAACATTTCCACACTACCACCCAGGAGGCATGTGTGTACCCCCAAACCCCCCATCTCCCATGGGTGAATTCTTCCCAAGGCAAGGTGCCTCCTCCCTGCAGATGTGCAGAGCTGTCTCGAAGGGCCCTGGGGGCTTGTTTTCCGGAATTGTTCTCTTTGGTCTCCTGAAGTCAGAAGAATTCACATGACCTTTGTTCCTGGGCATTCCTCCCGGCTTAGGTGTCAGCCCTTCTCTTCGGAGGGGGACAGGCATTTGGCTCCATCCACAAAGTGAGTCCTCATCCTTCCAGGGAGAGCCCTTCGCTGCTTTCCCGGGGCCTCTCAGCCCTCCAGGGTCCCTGAGGTGCTGGTGCTCCTCCACCCATTATGGGGTGTGGAATTCCTGGGGCCATTCCCTCTGCCGGCTTCCAGTGGGAGCTGTGTGGATGCTGTGTGCAGGGTGGTCTGGGACCCCCCACAGGGCTGGGTTTGAAGTCACAGAAAGTTCCAGTCAGAAGGGGTGAATGATAGGGCTTTAAAACCCCAGTAGGGGGAGTGAGGAGGTCAGATGTGGAGGAGGCTGGTGGTGGGTCCTTGAGGGTCCATAGAAGGTTCATGATGCCTCATGCTCTCAGTTCTTTGGCTGCCAGCACCTGTGCCTTCTCCCCCTATCAGCCCCACTGGCACACGAAGGCAAAGCCAAGATGGCCAGTGTCCCTCTGTCTGCTCAGGAAGTGCACCTGGACCAGGCGTTTACAAAGCCTGGACACTCCAAAGCTCATCTCTTGACAGCTTGGGAGATGTCAGTTCCTCTTTAGGATGATTGTGTGTCCCAAAGCCCGTGTTCTTCAGAGTTATGAACATAAATGGCTTCTCAATCACGTGGCTAGAGAGCGTGTGCCGCTCAGAAAGGGATGATTACAGCCACAGTGTATCCACAGTGAATGCTGAGCACAGCGAGCGAGCCCTGGGCCAGAAGCTCATTGACCAACACAACCTCCAGTCAACTTAGGACACATGGTTTGACTTTCCTGTAATGACCCCAGGCCACGGCCCCAGCCCCAGCCGACATCCTTGGGCTTCCTGGCCACGGTGCTCAGAGGCCTCTGGAGGTGGCCCTTTGGGGATTGGGCTGCACACTGGTGCAGCAGAGGGGTCTGTGGTCACCACCACCCCCAGCCCAGCTCCCACTCTTTATAGTGGGCAGAAGGTCACCCATGCAGGGAAGGCTGGCTGGTACTTGTTCCAGCGCCTTGGCACGCTCAGAGGAGGGGGTACCCCAGAGGGCTATCTGCTCTGTCCTTGCCCCAGGAAAGACTCATCTTTGGGGAGACTTCCCAGTCCTAGGGAGTGGGAGCCTCCCATTCCAGACCAGGGCATCAGGAGTGTGGGTGGGTGTCGGCCCTCCCCACCCTCTTGCCCAGCCCCCTCCTCTCGTGCCCACAGGGGCATCCGGACAGTGGGGCAGGACAAGCTGCTGCTAGTGCTCTGTGCAGACAGGTGAGTGAGTCCATGCTGCCCATGGCCACTGGCTGGGTGGCCTTTCAGAGCCCCGCCAGATGTCCCTTCTCCATCTGTGACTGGGATGGGAGCCTGGTGGGAGGTGCCTGCTGGGGACAGAGATGTGTGTCTATTGTTGCAGCCCTCAGCCTGCTCTCCCTGTCCCCACAGACCCTGAGGCCTCTCCTCCCTCTGTCCTGTTGTGGGCCTTGCCCCCCTCGCCCCATCGACCCCAGGCCCTACCTCCTCCGTGGCTCTGGCACAGGTAAGGGAAACGCCACACGTTGCCCAGGCCCACGCAGAAGCCCACACAGGTGAGCATGTACTGGGCCTTGTTGTCCCACTTGGGCCGGGACGAGGCCTCCGTGGCCTCGATGGTCTCCAGCTCCCCTAGGGACGGGATGCGGTCCTCCAGGCCCTGGTTGGGCAGCACAAGTCTCACCATGGTGGTCTCTGGCTGGGCTCACGGCAGGCAGGGCAGCAGTGAGTGAGGGCTAGTGGCAGTGGCCTGGTGGCCCGGCCCTTTATAGAGAACCTTTGGCACCTCACCCCAGCACCTGGACTGAAAGGAAGCGTCAGCAAATCTGTAGGGGCGAGTCCTCAGGACTGTTAATGCCTTATCTGCATGGCGCCCCCGCCCACGGAGAGCCTCGGAAAGCCCTAGCGGGAGGGGCGGGTCCTCCCCCTGCAGATGCACGCACAGGTGCCTCTGAAGGCCACAGGGGGCCGCTCCGGTCGCCAGGAGAGACAAGGCAAACAGACCATATCTGTTGGATCTGTGGACCCTCTAGCATGCCAGGGCAGTCTGTGTGGCCAGGCTCAGCAGGATGCTGGATCCTCCAGCCACCCCCAGCCCCTCAGAGCCTCCTCCACTGCCCTGGCCACACCTTCACCTGCGGGGAGGGGGAGGCCACCTGTCCCCGTCCCCAGACCACAGAGAGGCTTGGAGCCTGGCGCTCTGGGAGCAGCCGGCTCACCTGGCCCTTCAAGGAGCTTTAAGGATCTCCTTAGATGGCCCTGGTCCCCCCAGGGCCCTTCAGATCCCACTGAAAAGTACTTTGAGTGGGCCCCGAGCATCCTGGTACATCATGGGAACCCAGATGTCTGGGCCAGCCTGTCCCCATTGGCTTTTCTGGGAACACTGGACACAGACTGCCCCAGGCTCATCAGGATGTGTTGCCTCTCAAGGTGACCCTGGGTGACTGAGCACTGTGTGGGGCACCCTTGAGATGGGTGCTGGGATCCATGATGGGACATGGAGCTCTGACACCACTGAGTGAGAGGACAGGCAGGGAGACACAGTGGAGGCCAGCTACATGGAGGTGACCAGGGGAGTGGGGAGAGATGGCCAGAGTCAGTGGGTCCATCCTGGCTTCCTGGCCTTGACGGCTGGGGTGGCATGTAAAAGACTCTGCCCCCACCCAAAGCCCACCCCCAGACCAGAGGGCAGAGGAAGCTTTCATGCTTTTGGTGCAGCGGGTGGGGTGGGTGTGGCCCTTCATTCTGGGCCATGTACCCTTGCTGCCCCTCTATGCCACCCAAGATCAGTTGCCTGCTCGGCAGGACAGTGCACCCCCATTCCCAGAGTCTCCCCTCTGATAGCTGTCTCCCCAGGGCCTCTTACATGCAGCCATCTGGGAGCAGCTCTTGGGGATGCCCCCTGTCCCCTTCTGCACCGTGCCCCTTCCCAACTCCACATTCGCTTCAGAATTGCTAGGCTCTGTCCATGAAGTCTGTGGCTTATCTCCATCCTTAGTCCTTAGCGGTTTGCTCTGCTGGAGAAGAAGGGTTCCGGCCTTGGGCTGGACCATGTGGCCATGGGGGGCCCAGATCCAGAGGTCAGGGTTGCTTTGTACAGATGCTCATTTAAACTGCTGAGGTGACAATGGGGAGAGGACAGAGGTGATCAGGTGCAAGCAGGTAAAGGAGCCTGACTCAGGACAGTGGGGAGCCAGGAAAGGGTGGAGGCAGACAGGGAACCCAATGAAATCTAATTGGCTCTGAGCAGAGGCCAGAGTGGATGGGAGGATGAGGCCCCAATAGGAGACTGGGGAGAGATGAGGCTAGCTCAGGGGCTGGCAGGGGTGTGGGGGGTGAAGGGAGAGGCAGGAAGGTCGGGGAGGGAGAGCGGAGCCCTTGTGTGTCAGAGAACTGGGCTCCACAAGCTTTTCAATGGCTGAGTTTTCAGAAGTAGATTGCCAGGTCTTTCTTCCTAGGTGTGTCTGGGTGGACTGGAACCCCCTGCCATTCAGTTAGCAGTGGGGCACAGGAATTGTCTGTACCATCCAGGGACTCCAAACCAAACCAACACCTGCACATCAGCTGGAGAAAGGGGTCCCGCAAGAGCTGGCTGTGATGCTGGATGAAGAAGAAATCAGCAGGGAGAGCCCCAAAGAGCTTGATCACCCAAGGAAACCTGGACACCGCTGCTGTTTACTAGCCTGCTGGGAGAAAGGGGTCCGGGTGAAGTGCTAGTGCTCATCCTTCCTGCTGCAGAACAACAGTCTGAGCACAGCTGCCAGCCAGGCGTGAGGTGGAAGCCGAGGTCTCCCACCTACTTGCAGGTCTGGCCTCACTGCCTGGTGGCACAAGAACTCTGAGGTCCTCTCACTGCTTCTGTGAGGCCGTGGTCCCCTGGGCCACCTGTGGTTTCTTAGGCTGTCCCTGGTCTCCTGGGTTGTGTGTGCTCTCCAGGGCCGTCCATAGCCTCCTGGTCTGTCAGAAGTCTCCTGGATAATCCACGGTCTCCTGGGCTGTCTGTGGTCTCAAGTGCTGTCTGTGGTCTCGTGGCCTGTCCATGGTCTCTGGGGCATCCTTGGTCTCTTGGGCTGTCATGGCATCCCGTTGTCAGCTGCAGGAGGCCCCCGGGACCTCAGTGGTGCTCAGATGCAGGAACAGATACAACGCTGCCTGCTGTACAGAGAGATTGCAGAGAGATTGCCTTCTGGGCATGGAGGTCGAACATGAGCCCAAGTTGCTGAGTAAGAGCTGTCACAGCTTCAGTGTGACAGATTTTCATTTCTAGGGGAGCATAACCACCACCCTCTGTCTCAGAATCCTTTGTCAGCTCCGATGTCACCATGGAGAAGACCCATGTCGTCTTGGTGGCTTACAGTGTCCTACCGACCTGCCTAGTACCAATGACTTCCTCTCCCCACTTCAGTCTGCCAGCCCTTCCAGGACTTTGAGCACTCCAGGTCTGGAGCCCGCTCCCACCGTGTTCACTTGGCCGGCTCCCTCCCACTTCTTGGCCCAGACTCTACCCCACCACCTGGCTTCCCACTTAACACGGAACCTGCTCTCTCTCCCCCTTCTCTGCTCGCCACTCTCCACTCCATCCGTCTCTCCACCTTTTCTTTTCCCATAGCATTATTTCCCTCTAATGGGCTCTGCAACTCATGCAGTCATTTGGTTGTTTATGTTCTCTCTTCCCTTGTAGAATTAAGACCCACCAGGACATTCATCCTTGTCTCCTTTGTTTACTGATAAGACTGGAGCTCTGAGAACAGTGCTTCATGCCTTATAAGCCCTCAGTCAATATTTGTAGATGCTGAATGAGCAGATGAGCTAGCCTGCCTGTCATGCCAACCATAAACCAAAACCAAACCCACTGCCATTAAGTCGATTCCAACTCAACCAGTCTTTGGGACAAAGTAGGACTGCCCCATAGGGTTCTGAGTCTGTCAGTCTTTACAGAGTGGATGATGGGTTTGAACTGCTGACCTTTTGATTAGTAGTCCAGTGCTTTAAACCACAGCACCATCCAAGCTCCTTATGGTCATGCCAACTATAGACCTAGGAAAGTTGGTAAAAGGGCCGCCCTCACCAATGCAGCCTTTTCAGCTGGTGGTGTCAGAGCCAGGACTGGGGACGGGGGTCCATGTGTCCGATGTCCTTCCTCCCCTGTCTGTCACTCAGTTTCCTGATTTCCAGATGCCCAGTGCAAGGAGCCCGTGATTGAGTTTTGGGCAGAGAACTGTGGGTCTCCTGGAACAGAGGGAGATGAAAAGGCCCCTCACGACCTCCCTTCCTGGGGAGCTGTCCGGGGACCAAGCCTGTGATCTTCCTGCAAATGTGAAATCCCCTCCAAAATACAGGGGTAGTTCAGGGGAGAAGATGAGCTCAATTGATTAGACATTTGTTACAGAATTGTATCTGAAGAAAATGAGAAAGACCAAAACCAGTAAAAACATCGTAAAAGCAGCATATCCTGCTGTCCTGAAGTCCTGGGCCATGAGTTTGCTGTGACACTCAGGGGTTATGACTTACTGGAGACAAGAGAGGTAACTTGGAGACAAATTGTGACATTGCATTTGTCCATGATGGATGTACAAAGAGCAGTTGATGCTCAGGCTCCTCTCAGGACTGATGGTATCCGCGAACGCTGCACCATCTCTCCTCACTCACTAGCCTGGGCGTCTTCCTTGCTCCCATATTCCTACCACGTTTCTTCAGTTGTGCTTACTATAACAACTTCTTATAGCAAAGGTGACCTGCGTCCACTAGACAGCATTGCCGTTTTCACCCAGCTCCTGGGGTTGAGCACTGTGGACAGTTGTCCTCCCGTCTATAGCTTTGTTTTAGTTTCCGAGTATACATATGAAAGAGCCCTGGTGGTGCAGTGGGTAAACATTTGGCTGCTAATCAGTATGTCGGCTGTTCAAACCCACCAGTGGCTCCACAGGAGAAAGGTGAGGCAGTCTGCTTCCCTGAAGATTACAGCCTTGGAAACCCTGTGGGCCAGTTCCACTCTGACCTAAAGGGTTGCCATGAGCTGAAATCAACTCAACAGCAAATATGTATGTACAGTCTAAGTGATGTACTGTCTGTCAGCTTGTGGAATTACTGTGGTGGCTCTCATATTGCTGTGACGCTGGAAACTCTGCCACTGGTGGTTCAGATGCCAGCAGGGTCATTCGTGGTGGACAGGTTCACAGGAGCTTTCCAACTAAGGCTGGGGAGGAAGGCCTGGTGATCTGCCAAAAATTAGCCAATGAGAACCTTGTGAGTTGCAACGGAGTAGTATCCGACTCACTTGTTTGGGACGCAGCATCGGGAGGTATCTTCCATCTCTGGAGGAGGACATCATGTTTGGTGAGGTAAAGGGCCAGCGAGGGTGAGGGAGGTCCCCAGTGAGGTGACTGGTACAACAGCCACGAACACGCCGGCGAGTGTGAAAATGGTGTCGAATTGGGCAACATTTCATTCCTTTGCAAATAAGGTCTCCATGAGTTGGAGTCGGCCTGAAAGCACCAACCTACCTACCTACCTAGTTACCTACCTCCCTACCTAGTTATCTACCTCCCTACTTACCTACCGACCTACCTACCTTCCTTTCTGTGTATCTAATACACACACTCATCAGTTGAATTATACTGGAGCTCTGGTGGTGTAGTGGGTAAGACATTTGGGTGCTAACTAGGTCAGTGGTTCAAATCCACCAGC